TGGCCACTCCAGGGCTACAGACTCATGTTCTCCAAATCATTCCTGCATTAGGCATGAAAAGGTCTTGCAGTCATTGTCCGCACCGAAATGACCTCAGAGGGGAAAATGCTATAGAAATCAAGGGTTAATTCGAGCTCATCGTCCAAAATTATCTCGTACTGGGGCCGTCAATATTGCATATGAGCCCCACCCGCGCACATGTCATACATCCCCACACCTCCACCAATCCTTGTCACCATGGTTTACCATCTGTTTGATTTGGTGGTACTGCAGGGTTGTGCCTTCACGAATCCAGGCAAACGCATGACCATTAGTGCTGAAGTAGTAGATGTTGGTCCCATTTCACCAGATTACATGCTTTCGAACATTAATTGTCCACTTAGCATGCGACTCCACGAATTGCAGCCGGCCCCTGATGTTTTTCCACAATTGTCACAGCTTCTACGATTGCTGCATCGTGACTATACCCGCGGACCCTTGTGTGATTTTTATGGTGAAAGGATGCACCGTCAACCGGGCAACATTACCCTACAACAGTACGACGAAGACGATTCGTGATAAGATGGGTCCGACTGGCTGATTGCATCTTTGGCCACACCGCAGCATGGCTAGTCTCAGAGATACCATTCAATAAAAGATCTTCCACAATACTCATGCCTACGCCCAACTTCTTCGCGATTTACCTAGTGCTCACCCCCTCATGCAAAATGGTGCGTCCAGGCAGAGTGCAAGAAATTCCCTACCGAGGTTTGCACTAACCTCGTAGGTAACATGACTAGGAGTTTGCGGGTGGTGATCAAGGCCAATGGTTAGTGAGCTATGTACTAGAAACGTGGTTAGGAAGTTTGCTCTCTCTGCTTGGAACTATTTGTCCGGATGTACCCATTTTTTACCTTCTGGGATATCAGTTAGATCCAATGTACTGTTCTGGATTTTTGTACTGCAAACACATTCACTATGTGCCCCTCCCTAATCTTACCACCATAAAACATTAAGGCTTAATGTATAATGGTCTTACAGCCTAGAAACCCTGATTAATGCAAAACTTACGGACAATTGTTTCCGTCACTGTAGTCTGCCACCGGAGGTACGTGCTCACCCTCTTCCAGCAAAGCCTTGCCCTTGCGCTTCCTCGCTTGTAATACGAGGAACACCGATTTTGCTGGTCTTCGTTTCTTCACGTGCCACGGTTCCAGCGCTTCATGCTTGTCGATCTCGTATTTCAGCAACAAAATCGTTATCAGCTCACCCAGGCGGGCATTGCAGACTGCACCGTGGTCCCAAGAGTTGATCACATTTTGCTTGGTAAAACTACGCTCGGACCCCACAGTTGAGAATGGTCACACCGCGCATGCTTGCCAGAGAGGCATGCGATTGGTCGAAGTTAGCACCGTAGCCATAGAGATACTCCCTCGTCTTCTTCTCCCTCACAGTCCGAAGTCGCGGCCACTTGCCCGCCCGAGACAGCTTTGGCGGCCCGAGCATCAACAGGTCGTCCAGCCACACCAGCAGGTTCGTCATGCTCCCCCTCGCGAATTTCGCACACAACAGCTTGCAGTCCCGGTAGTTCCTCCAGTAGACATGTCCCTTGATCTGCCGCTCGTGCATATGGTACGTGTGCGTCACCGGCTGCCCCGTCCTTGTCGACGCCCCGCATCTTCACTCTCTTCACCCCCTCCGCGCCCGTACACGGTTAGGAAAGCAATCAGTCACATGCCGCTTACTCCAGCACTGAAAACCTGCCGCACTCCAAGTTGCGGTGTCGAAGATCCCCCAACGCCTGGTCAATGCCGCACGTAAACCTACGTGAGGATGAGGACTTTTGAAACACGGATTCAGGAGGAAGCTTTTACAGTCGGGCAGAATATCACCATACCAGATTATTTGGGACGCAACGATGTACAACCACGAGGCGGTCCCACTATTGGGCTGCCTGTCTAGCGAGCATGACACGGACACGTGCCGGAGGCCCCCGCGCATTAGCCTCACCGACCTTGACTCGATGTTGGCGAGACTAAACATCATGTACAGTGTTCATATTCCATCGCTTGCCGATGGCGGCTACTCCAAGGCCTTTCACATCAACATTCGTACGAACAACGGATTTCTGACGTTCGTGCCCAGCGGAACCTATACAACTCACTCCATCTGCTGTGGCTGGGGACAGAGGTCGGTGCACCACTTCGGTGACAGGTTGGTGCGTCTACATGGTTGTAGACGCTAGTGTAGCAGCGTGCTCTGATATACGGGCGAACATTCGTTAACGTCCTCGTCGCCCGCTTTCCGGGCCGGGCTTGCTCTGGACGTGCCGTGCATTATGGTTTGTCACTTCCGACATGTGCAATTCCACAGGGCATCATTTGTCGGTGACATCCCTCCAATTGGGGTGAGCCTATACCAACATCCAATTGGCAGAAGCATGCGCGACATGACGAGGCTTCAATACCGAGCTGATTCTGTCATTCATGCTTGCACGCCGGGATCAGCCCCGTTTTCCAGATCCAGAACTTGATCCTGGTCTGTAGGAGTACGACCTAAGTTACATTCATTCTAACATGGTTCGTCGACCAATCATTCAATTCCGCAAAGCGCAACACTGCAGTTCATTCCGAAAGGTCCTACGGACTATGCAGTAATATGACGACCCTTCTAAACTAATCTAACAGATGCCATATACCCGTATCAATCACCATCCTCGAATTGTATTGCTCGTCAGCTGCGACGTGTACTAGCCGTGAAATCGTTACCCACAAGTCGTGACGCGTGCGATATGAGCAGTGCCATTTTGCGAGATTGTCACCATTTCCCGACGTTGCGTACGAAGAACAAAATAGCGGCCATAAGGTGTGAGGTTTTTTTAGGTCTCGGGATGTTTTAGAAGGCAGAGGTTGTTCAATATGATGCGTTTTATTTCGTGCATTTTGTTTCATGCACCATCCGATCCCGTTTGCGCTTTACTGTGTTATTTTACTAGCCCTGAAAGGTCCCATTTGGCTTCTGAGCCACCGGGGTGAAGCCTGCTCAGGAAGGTCGTCATATGGGGTTATTTATGTATGAACAGATTAACATCATTGGTTTTTGATACGTAGGGTTCGTGTTATAAATTCACCTTGTTGCATAGTCTATAAGTTCGTGTGGCTGACCATCCAAACAGCACAGCAGGAGCATCCAGCACCTGACAACCAGCGGCAGGAGAAAGGAGCTGCATCGCGATGACATCCACTCTTGGTTTGCAGCCAATGGCGAGCTGCCGATAGTGTTGTGCCACGTGTTATCCACATTGCTGCCCAATGAACGAGCATTGTCAAGCGCACTGCTGGAATATTCCGTCACTTTGGTCCGCTGGCATTTTGTGTAGGGATGGAATAACCCTTTCCTTTTGGCCAGGTTCGTGGCAGCTTTGCCACAAGGACCATCGCACCGGCCCAAACGTTGTGGTGATGTACAGTACCAACGCTGCCAGGAAGTTGTTGCCACTGTTTACATTGTTGCGAACTTGCCCAGGAAAGCGTGTACATCTCTTTGCCCTAAAGCTTCCAGTAAATTTAGCGACTACTTTTTCTATTCATTCTGCTCACCCACTGGAGCTCGGAACATCACTTTGGGCAGAAGTCCAGTCGCGCAAACGCCAGCACAATTAGGAAGCAGTAAACTCTGCCCGATTCTTTATTACCTCGACTGGCTTGGCCCCTGGATTTTCATGTCCGGACAGCTCGACAAATGTCGCGCCGCCCTGAATGCTGCGTGGACACAGCCCGGCCCAATGGATCGTATCCAGTCACTGCTCACCACAACGCGTCGCAAGGGGGCAGCATGAACGTCCTGTCCCAACTGTTGAGAGGAAGTGTAGAGCCTAGAAAACACGCAACCTTATCGAATGCGGCAGGTTGTACATTGGTCAAAGTCGGATCACGGGCAGTAAATAGACTCCAGCACTCGTGTGGCGGACGCTTGAATTTTGGGTCCCCTACCACCCCATGTCGCCAGGCACCTGGACTCCCCTCACACGTTGTGGTAAGCCCTGTACACCTCCATGCGACGCAACTCTTCAGTTTCGCGTAGGTTGCGTTTTGGTTGAGCAGCCAGTGCAGAAACACGTGACACAAACTTTCTATGGGACCCCACAGCAGCCAACGAAACACAGCCCAGCGTCCCTCAGACCCACGAAACCGGCCGACGCCCTTAGGGGTCTCGCACGTCCAGCCCATTTGATCACTGTCTTCCACCTCTCTCACTGCCTCACTAGGAGCTCTTGCGCCATTTACTCCCGTTGTGCCGTCGTTCCTAGCATCCCCCTTTAGCCGCTCCTGAGTTGGTAGTTTCTAGGCGCGGCGCGCTAATGACGCGGTGACCTATCTGGTATAAGAATGCGTCAGGCGCGCAGATCGGTTTTGACGATAGCCAGGGTAGTGCCGTCGAGCTGGCCACTATCACGTGCGGTTCGACATCACTTAGTCAACGTCAGACAATGCGACGACGGGCGCTGCGACGTCGGGAGCACGACGTCTCGCGCTGCGACGTCTGACGATGCGACGCCTGGCGATGCGACGTCAAGCGATGCGACGTCTAGCCATGCAACGTCTGGCGATGCGACGTCTTCCGTCGCGTCGTGTGGCGCAGGGATGCCGCGCGCTGTAACGATAGCGACGGGCGCAGCGACGTGTAGCGCGGCGACGTCTAGCGTTGCGGCGTCTGACGTCTTGAAGTTTTGCGATGCGAACACCGCTCGTGGCGACGCCCCCGTTGTAAGTCTCAGGTATTCCTCACTAAAGACCGCATCGCAGGACCGGTCATGGCAGCGCCAGTCATGTTAAAATGCAGTCATCCAGACACAGTCCAGTATAGTTTCCAGCTTCTCACCGCCACCTCGACTAGTTTATTCACACCACGCTCTGCTCTCGTTCTCCTCCCTTTTCCGTGAACACCTTCATGGCGCCCAAGAAGCAGGTTTCCAAGCTCGGTGATGGCGACACTCGTTCGAAGACCACGCGAAACAATCGCAAGCAGAAGGGTGAGAGCTTCCTCGCCAAAGGCAAGCCCACTTATGACAAAGACGTGACTGCACAGCGAAAATCGGGTCGGAAGCGGCGAAGACGGGTCAGATTGGGAGAGGATGACACATCCGACAATGACTCCACCGCTGCTTCCGATCAGGAGGAGGAGGATGAGGATGGGGCAGGCCGTGATGTACGCAAGCGGAACGAGAGTTTGGGGCGTGAATCCGGGGGAGGCGACGAAAGTGACGAGGACGAGGGAGCGGAGACAGGAGGTGAGGAAAGTGACGACGAAAATGCCGACAACGACACGGATGGGGATGGTGAGGAAGAGCATGTTGATGAGAATGTCGAGGAGGATGAGGGTCGTGACGCTGGAAAGTCGGACGACGACGAACATGACGATGAGAATGAGTTGGATGATGAGGATGCTGACGAAGCTGTTGCTGAGGATGCTGACGACGGTGCTGATGAGGATGCCGATGAAGATGCTGATGAAGCTTGCGCTACGAGGAGGGGAAAGGTGCGCCCTCTTTCAGCCATTGGCTCATCGAAGAAGGAGGCATCAACAATGGATATGGAGAATGGGGATGGTAGGAAAGAGGCTAATGGTAACACTGCCGGCGCAAGGAAGAAGCTGAAGCAAACGGTCGCCAATGGAGCTGTCAGCAGTGACGTGACAGTCAAGCACAAGGAGCAACCTGATGGAGACGGTGAGTAGAAACTCCTGCGTGAGGCTATTTCTGGATGTCGGGAAACCATTGCACCATGCTCTTCGTACTAGCAATGATGCCTATGCCATGCTTTGTGATGGGTCGTATTCATCAACCTCTGAACATCCCTTTGCTGCGGTTATTTGCACATCCAGCAGAAGGGACGGCTTCAAATGGTAAAGATTTCAAGCCGACAAGCACGGAGGAGGCCACGGAGGGGGGGAAGGGCCCGGGCTCGGATGAGGCAAAGGGTGCAGATATGGCCATGGATAAGGGGCAGGAAGGGGATCTGGGGAAGGATAGGGTTAAGGGGAAGGGAGAGGACAAGGGGCTTGTCAAAGTAAAGGTTGAAGGAGAGGAGCAGGGGAAGGCTAAGGATCAGGGGAAGGCGAAGGGTAAGGGGAGGGCCAAGGAACCGGGGGTGGAAAAGGGTACGGATAAGGCAAAGGATAAGGGGAAGGGTAAGGATGAGGGGAAGGCAAAGGATACCGGGAAGGCAAAGGATACGGGGAAGGCAAAGGATACGGGGAAGGCAAAGGATACGGGGAAGGCAAAGGATACGGGGAAGGCAAAGGATACGGGGAAGGGTAAGGATACAGGGAAGGCAAAGGAGGGGAAGGCCAAGAATAAGGGGAAGGATGTGGATAAGGGGAAGGCCAAGGGGAAGGATTTGAAGGACAAGGGCAAGGGGAAGGGATCTGAATCCAAGGCAGCCAATGGTGAGTGCCACGTCAGTGTAACTTCGCCCGTCTTGCCAGCCTCCCTGTACATGGCACACCTGTCCCTTTTATCCTGGCCTCCCTGCCCCTCCCTCCATCCCTCCCTCCATTAAAATCCTCCATACCGCCCACCCTCCCTGACCCCTTTTTCATCCATGCCTCTTGCTCTCCTCTCCCTCCTTCACTCCCTCCCTCCCTCCCCTCCCTCCCTCCCTCCCTCCCTCCTCTTCCCCCCTTGCGTATCTTCAACCTCTCACCCATCACCCAACGTGTACCACGTCGGAGCTACCCCGCCGGATTGCAAGCCACGGTGCACTTTGCAACCCGAGCTTCTTCATCCATGCCTCCTGCTCTCCCCTCCCTCCTTCACTCCCACCCTCCCTCCCTCCCTTCATCCTCTCCCTCCCTCCCTCCCCTCCCTCCCCTCCTCCCCTCCCCTCCCTCCCCTCCCTCCTTCCCTCCCCTCCCTCCCTCCCTCCCTCCCTCCCCTCCCTCCCTCCCCTTATATTGCAGTACTGGCGCTTTCTGGGGCACCGCCACCAGGGAAAATCTACTGCATGTCGTCCGAACGGCATGCGATCTCCGCTGCTGCGCCAAAGGTAGTCGCTTCGACTTCGGGGTTGAGCACCGAGGAGAAAGCGGTCACACGTGCTGAATTTATAGCACTGGAGGCCAACCTCCTGGGCCAGCTTAAGGCCATAAGGGCTCTTGTGGAGGCGCAAGGGGTGGGCCCTGTGCCAGAGGCGGTCATGGTGACTCCATCTGCATCTACAGTTGCACCGGCGGTGCCTGCCCCCTCTAGGCTCACAGAGAGTCCACTGGTGTTGGCAAAGGCCATTGTCATGAAGCACGTCGATGACTACAAGGTGGGTTGGTGTGGGGGGTCGTGATGGGCACACGAAAACGGGTGCTGTTTTGTAGGCTTTGTGCTATCCGTGCGACTTTTTGCTTTGTGTACTCGCCTTGTTCCCCTGCACCGCTGGTCGTTTTGTGATTGTCTGTCTCTCTTTGTGTCTCCATCATCCGTTTACCTTGCAACCTCCTCTCCCCCCGTCCCATACTCACCCACTTCATCCGCTTGTTACCAGCTTTACCCTTCTCCTTTCACCAATTTTTGTCGCCACCCATTCGCACGCTTTGCATTCCCTACATTCTGTTGTCAGCTTGACGCTTCTAGTTTTCCTCACCTTTTCAAAAACCCCTCTCCCCCCACCCCCCTGCTACTCTCTCTCCTTGCCCCTCTCTTCTTCCCCCCTTCTCACCTCCCATCTCCTCTCCTCCACCCATAGGATCTGTCGAAGCGCGTGGCAACACACCTGATCTTCACCATCATTGCGGGGAAGATCCAGTTCTACCCGTCTTCTGACGAGGCCTTGGAGCATGGCTTCCAGGTTTTCGTCTCGGGGATCGTGACTGATGCGCTGAAGTTGCTCTTCGATCACAATGACCCGGCCACCCGTGGTGTTTTCTTCGAGCAGCTGTCGACCACGAGGACCACGATCAATGGATGTATGCGGAAGGTCGGACTCACTGCATTAGGGCGGCAAGGCAACCGTACGTATGTGAAGAATCTTCCAGCGGATCTGCCAGCCCCTGAGATCTACTACCACGACGACGAGCTGAAGGACAAATACTTTGATGGTGAGGTTTATTGTGGTCCCCTTTTTGCTCCATGTAAACAATGCTTAAAACCTCTCGTTACTCATGACTGTATCAAATCTCCATCCCTCCCTCCCTCCCCTCCCTCCCTCCCTCCCTCCCTCCCTCGTCTTCCCCCCTTTCGTATCTTCAACCTCTCACCCATCAACCAAGGTCTACCACGTCGGAGCTACCCTGCCGGATTGCAAGCCATGGTGCACTTCGCAGCCCGAGCTTTTTCATCCATGCCTCCTGCTCTCCCCTCCCTCCTTCACTCCCTCCCTCCCTCCCTCACTCACTCCCTCCCTCCCTCCCTCCCTCTCTCCCTCCCCTCCCTCCCTCCCTCCCTCGTCTTCCCCTTTTTGTATCTTCAACCTCTCACCCATCAACCAAGGTCTACCACGTCGGAGCTACCTTGCCGGATTGCAAGCCATGGTGCACTTCGCAGCCCGAGCCTTTTTATCCATGCCTCCTGCTCTCCCCTCCCTCCTTCACTCCCTCCCTCCCTCCCTCACTCACTCCCTCCCTCCCTCCCTCCCTCCCTCCCTCCCTCCCCTCCCTCCCTCCCTCCTCTTCCCCCCTTTCGTATCTTCAACCTCTCACCCATCACCCAAGGTCTACCACGTCGGAGCTACCCCGCCGGATTGCAAGCCATGGTGCACTTCGCAGCCCGGGCTTCTTCATCCATGCCTCCTGCTCTCCCCTCCCTCCCCTCCCCTCCCTCCCTCCCTCCCCTCTCCTCCCCCCCCTCCCTCCCCTCCTTCCCTCCCTCTGTCCCTGCCTCCCTGCCTCTCCTCCCTCCCTGCCTCTTCATTCACCTACTCGCATACACAGATGACTGGGGATTCTGCTGGCATCTTGATGGTGGAAAGCCATTCTCCACTCTGATCTTTGCTGTCTCCGTTCGCCTCGCATTGGCAAGGAGGGGCGTGAACACGGAGAAGATCAAAATCCGCCAGCTGGGCTGGATTCTCTACGCTGTGAGTTCCTTAGCATATTTTAACCGTGTTGTTGGGTGGTATGGCGTGGGTAGGAGGGGTTGCTTGCACCGCATTTCTAATGTCTATGTACGTGCTCTTAACTGTCTGGCTGTGCCGCAAGCGGGAGTAAGGATTTACGTGTAATGCGCATTCTTGTTTGCTTTTTCCTTTCTTTATTCCTTCACACACTTGCAGTTTGAGTGGCCCATCCTGAATAATGCTCCGGATGGCAAGCTCTCCACCAAGTGGGAGGTCAACCGCACCAACTACGAGGCCATGTGCGTGCGCGCCAAGAAGTGGGTCGAGGTTGCCGTGCTCGACTTTGGCGTCCCGTACGCTGCAGAGACGCATACGTTCAACTTCCCACACTCCATCTACATTGACGCGACCGACTTCGAGTCGCTGGTGCGGGAGGTTGAGGTACGTTGCTAAGTTTTCTATGGTACCAGCCGCATCTGGTGCTGAGCATTTGTCCGTGATGTATTGCGTGGTGGTTGTTGTGTTCGACCCATTCATATATGTCCTCATGGCTGTCACTATGTTCGGGTGCAGAGGAGGGCGACCCGCACAATCATTTTGACGACTGTGTAATGCTCCAAGTCTTCCATGACGCCCCATGGTGTGCGATCGAGCTGCAGAAAGCATGAGTAGAGGAGATGAGATTGCAAGGTTGAATGATGCAGTCGGGCCTCGTGTGGGTTAAAAGTGGGCAGGGCAGTGGCTTGGGTATGAGAATTTTGCAACAGCAGACTGTGGGGAGATAGGTTGTGTGAAAAGTTTGAGGTGAAACAGCCACACCCAGGGTATGGAGATGAGCAACACAGGCAGCAGTGGTCTACAGGTGGTGTTGAGTCATGCCAGCAGTTATACCAGGGGTTTGGACCTTGGCGGCACCGAAGTTATCACGGGAGGGGGCGTGCAGTAATGTTTCGTGGAGGGGCGGTGAGCAGTTGTAGTAATGGCTAAGGTTCTATGGTGAACAGGAGCAGATTAAGGGAGGGGTGGTGAGCAGCGGCAGTAGTAATGGAACATTAGTGAGCAGCGGCTGCAGTAACAAGGGGTGCTCGTGATCAGAAGCAGTATTAGCAAGGGATGGTCGTGATCAGCACCAGTATTAGCAAGGGGTGGTTGTGATCAGCAGCAGCAGTAGGAGGCGGGCGCTAGTGAAGAGTAGCGGCAGCAATACGGGTGTGGTGGAGGGAGGCGAGAGCAGCATGGGGTGTTGGTGAGGAGCAGTAGTTGCAGGGGATGGTGGGGGAGCAGCTGAGCATCATGTGTAGCAAAGGGTGATGTTGAGCAGCAGCAGTAGCAAAGGGTGATGACGCGCAGCAGCAGTAGCATGGGGTGGTGGTGAGCAGCAGCAGTAGCAAGGATGTGGTGGTGGGAGGTGACAGCAGCAGGGGGTGGCGGTGAGCAGCACGAGTAGCAGGGGTGGTGGTGAGCAGCAGGAATGGCAAAGGGTAGTTGTGAGCAGCAGGAGTAGCAAGCGGTGGTGGTGAGCAGCGAGAGTAGCAAGGAGTGGTTGCGAGCAGCAGGAGCAGTAGCAAGGAGGGTCGGTGAGGAGCAGAAGCTGCAGTAGCAAGGGGTGCTGGGGAGTAGCAGCAGCAGTAGCAAGGGCATCGTGGTGGGGGGCGACAGCAGCAGGGGGTGGTGGTGAGCAGCGGTGAGCAACAGGAGTGGCAGAGGGTGGTTGTGAACGGCAAGAGTAGCAAGCGGTGGTGGTGGGCAGCAGGAGAAACAAGGGGTGGTTGTGAGCAGGAGAAGTAGCAAGGAGGGCTGGTGAGGTGCAGAAGCAGCAGTAGCAAGGGGTGGTGGGGAGTAGTAGCAGCAGTAGCAAGGGGTGGTAGTGAGTAGCAGCAGCAGTAGCAAGGGGTGGTGGTGAGTAGCAGCATCAGTAGCAAAGATGTGGTGGTGGAAGGCGACAGCAGCAGGGCGTGGTGGTGAGCAACAAGAGTAGCAAGGGCTGCTGGTTAGCAGCAGTAGATAGGGGTGGTGATGGGCAGCATGGGTAGCATGGGATGGTCGTGAAGATGCAGTTAGTGTAGCAGAATTCTCTACCTGAAGCAGTAGTGGGTGTAGCAGATTTTGAGCAGCGGTACATGTAGTGGCTGCAGTAGATTCTGCCAGGTGGAGCTGTAGCGAGAGCGATTCCATAGAGTCTCTTGGCTGCTGCAGTAGTAGCTAGATTAGGGGGCTGACGCTGCAGTCGTGGCAGGACTCATTGGATGCAGTGTACTGTAGTATGTAACCCCCTTTTATCAATAATAAAACGTAATTTTAAAACCACTTTCAGATTTGCCAGTATTTCTCTACCAGCCCATCACTGGCATTGGAGCAACCTTGGTGTGAATTTGGACTACTTTCACACCATGCGTGGTCCTACATAGGTGTATGGCTTTGGTCAAATCTGGTTTGAAAATTAGGCAGAATTCTACCTTGCAGCCACACCGTCTGTGGTCCAAGATTTTGGACCAAATTTGGTCCATTCTTGGGCGCGGGCACCATAATTGGACCAAACTTGGACCAATTTAATGGGGGTTGTTTTGTGATGAGCTTGCTGCTCGAGCTCGTCATGGTAGTCCTGCTCCGTCTGTAGTGCGCTCCTGAACTTGATCATTTCCTGACGCGCTTTCTCCGCCTTGGTCCTCGCGTCGTCCAGCTGCTTCTTGGTATTCGCGAGATTCGTCTGGGAGGTTACCAGAGCGGCGTTCGCGTCGTCGATGAGCTTCTGGATCGCCTGCTCCGCCTTGAGCTTGGTGTTGTATTCCGCCAGCGCGGCGTTCGTCACCGCTTCCGCGTCGTTAGCGGTCTTTCGGGCTGCCGCGGCCTTGATGGCCATGTAAGACTGGGCGTTCACATCCGAGAAGTTTGCCGCGACCAGAGCAGATACAAGAACCAGCGCGACGATCGGAACGTGAAATCGAGGCATGGCTAGGGAGGGGCACGGGGTATGCTTGGTGATTGCTTAGAAGCGAGGGCAGCACGTTTGCTAATGTGTGAAGTAGATGACGGCCTTGGCTGAACTCGCTAGTGTTGCTTGAAGTGAGGTTGAGATGAATGTGCTAGGGACGGGTAATATATATGTGCTAGGGTTGAGTGTTTTGGGTTGGGTTGGGTTGGGTTGGTTTGGGTGCGTTGACACCGTGCCATGTGCACTTTCTTTCCCCCACTGCTCGCCGCCATGCCTGCCGGGATGTCTCCTCAATTTCCACATTCCTTTGCAAAGTTGACATCTTACGCGGCTCGCAGTTGCGCGCTTCGGCTTGAAGTGTGACGAATGCCATCGCGACTTGCTTGCATGGGCTGGCTTGCTCGCATGAGGTGAGTTGCTTGCTTGAGCCAGTCTCTTGATCCCGAGGGAGTATTCAAAGCCGCGCGTTCTGATGCCATCTTGGCACTTGGCGTCGAGACTACTTTTTCGGCCAGGAAGAACAAACATGTCCAGGATGAGCAAAGAGCATTTGGAAGAAATAAACGGTTTGTTCGTTTGTTTTTTTAAGCACGCCCTCGTCTCGAGGGGTTCTGGTGGTTGGGACACCAGCGCCCGAGCTTGTCGTTGCAGGAGCCCACCCTTGACAGTGGAGCACGTGGCAGGGTGAAGGTGTTGCCAAAATGGTCTGAGGGAAAGAATATGGTTAGCGACATACTACACCAGCCACGCCACCCCGTAACACCGAGCACATATGGTACTAGCAAATAACAAACTTATAATCTTGAAATGGTGCCAAAAACTTTAAACAAGCACCATACTTGGTTGTATGGTACAACGAGCAAAACCATATGTTTACCAGGATAATACCACCCTTGTTTTGTTTCGAGCACACCAATTTTTTACTGTGCCCTCCAAAAAAATCTCCACGTTCTAACGATGACTCTCCTCAGGCGAGGGCAAGAAGGGAGACACCATCATATTCACGAGTGCACCCACTCATTACCTCATTTATGAGGCGAAAACCGTGGCATGCACACAAGACGCAACAGCTGTTTATACGTTAATGTGCGTTTCAACAATTATTTCAGCATGGGACGCAGTCTAAGTTTGTGCGGCCGTGATGCAATAACCTCCTCTAAAGCGATCCTCCGAACTGTGTGGAAGTCAATGTCTGCATAGAGGCCCCTGTAAGAAACACCGATTGAAAGCACCAGCAGCAGCAACAGGAAGATGTTGAAACACTGTTATGTGCTTTGAGAACCATATGGCCGGGTGTAACTAGGCAAAACCTGTGGCGTGTGAAACGTGATGTGTCAGTTGGCCAGGTGTATCTGGCATAACCTGGCAAAACCATATTGGCGTGTGGTGCGCCGAACGTGGGGCGTATGGTGCGTGGAAAGTGGGGTGTGTGGTGCGCGGAAAATGGGGCGTGTGTTGTCTGCCAAGAGAAAGCAACAAGAGTGTCACCAGGAGAGTGGGAAGAAAGAGAAGGGCGCACCAGTAATGGTGCGTGGGCCAGGAAGTAGCTGAAAAAGTATGGCTCTATAACTATGAGGACGCGGGAAGTCAGGAGAGAACTCACCAGTAGTGGTGCTTGAACGAGGGGAGATGCTGGGAGAAAGTGGAGAGCTCACCCGAAGTGACGGGGGAAGGAGGAGAGCTCACCAGAAATGGTGCTTGGACCATGTACATGTGGGGAAGGCAGGGCTCGTAAGGCCATGAAGAATGCGGGCGATGGCACGGGCGTTGACAGGTGGCGCATCGGGATTGGCTTGCTGGCAGCGCAGGAACACCTGGATTGGAGGCAAGAGAGGGGCGGGTGGACGACGTGTGGGTGTATATGTGCAGGCGTGTGCGTGCGCATGTGAGCATGCATACATGTGCATGTGTGTGTGTGCATGCATATATTCACATGTGGGTGTGCATGCTTGTGTGTGCATGCGTGTGTTGTGCGCCATGATCCGTGTGTGGCCGAACGAACATTGCTAGCATGATGTTAGCAATGGGATCCCCATGTGTTAGCCCGATGCATCATGCCTTAAAGCCACATACCTTGATGCCAAACTCAGAAATACCCCCACTTTATGTCACCCTCCTTTATATTTCTCGATTTTATCCCACTCACCTTTATATTACTCAATTATATTCCACTCACCTTTATGTCGCTACGAAGAAATTGGCTAACGAGAGGCGATCCCAAATGATGCCGTTGACAAGCCCAGTTGTGCATGCATACCCAAGGGGAAACATAAAAAGCGGCATGCGTTTTCGTAGTCCATTGCACAGTCGAAACATAAAAAAAGACAACAAAGCGGGAGCATGTCAGATGGCCGAGCAGCGACAATCTCAGGGCTGCGTTCTCTGCACTGATTCCAGTGACGCCTTGACAAAATATTTTTGAGGCGCCTAAAAAAAATGAAAATCTCAGGGCTGTGTTCTCTGCACTGATTCCAGGGATGCCTTGACAAAATATTTTTGAGGCGCCTAAAAAAACAAACAATCTCAGGGCTGCGTTCTTTGCACTGATTCCAGTGATGCCTTGACAAAATATTTTTGAGGCGCCTAAAAAAAAAGGCAATCTCAGGACTGCGTTCTCTGCACTGATTCCAGTGACGCCTTGACAAAATATTTTTGAGGCGCCTACAAAAAAAAAACAATCTCAGGGCTGCGTTCTCTGCACTGATTCCAGTGACGCCTTGACAAAATATTTTTGAGGCGCCTAAAAAAAAAACAATCTCAGGGCTGCGTTCTCTGCACTGATTCCAGTGATGCCTTGACAAAATATTTTTGAGGCGCCTTAAAAAAAAAAACAATCTCAGGGCTGCGTTCTATGCACTGATTCCAGTGATGCCTTGACAAAATATTTTTGAGGCGCCTAAAAAAAAAAAACAATCTCAGGGCTGCGTTCTCTGCACTGATTCCAGTGAGGCCTTGACAAAATATGCTGGCAAGTGCTTGCTTTGGTACAGGAGGGTACATGAAGAACATCTTATACTTTGTGTGAGGATATGCAATGCAAGTGCATGCATGCGTGTGTGTGTCGGTCGCACATGTGGACTTGAGCATGCATGTGTGCATGCTTGTGTGCATGCTTGTGGAGGCGAGTGTGCATATGTATGCACATGAGTGTGTGCATGTATATGTGTGCATGTGTGTGTGCATGCATGTGTGTGCATGTGTGTGCATGTGTGTGCATATGTGTGCATGCATGTGTGTGCATGCATATGTGTGCATGCATATGTGTGCATGTGTATATGTGCGTGTGTATGTGCATGCGTATGCGTGCATGTGTATGTGAGTGCATATGCGTGCATGTGTGTGTGCATGTGTCTGTGCATGCATGTGAAGGGCTCACCTTCCCACCAAAATCTCACCTGGCAGTGGGCACAGTAGCAGGAGCAGCAAGCAGCGAGGGTACAGTGCCATCCCTGGAGTCAAAGTATGCTGAGATGCAGCCATGCAGGAGGGCTGTCTGCCGCCCAGACAGTGACTTGTGCCAGTCAGAAGCGAGAGGGGGAGCCATGGTGTCTGCAGCTGGCGATTCGGCTGGCACTTGCGCCGCAGCTAGTACCACAGAATACATGGCGTCAAGCTTAGCAACCTGGAGAGAAGTGAGGTGTGTGAGGGTGGGTGGGTGGGTGTGTCTGCTTTAAAGTCGACCCAGAAGCAACTGCCAGAGTACATGGCACCAAGCTTCGCAACCTAGAGGGAAGTGGGTGTGTGAGGGTAGATGTGTCTGTGAGGGCAGGTGTGTGAGGGCAGGTGTGTGAGGGCAGGTGTGTGAGGGCAGGTGTGTGAGGGCAGGTGTGTGAGGGCAGGTGTGTGAGGTCTGTTTATAAGTCGACCCAGAAACAACTGCTACAGAATACACAGCATCAAGCTTAGCAACCTGGAGAGGAGAGGGGGGGTGCATGCGGGTGGGTGGGTGGGAGTGTGCGGGTGCGTGGGTTTGTGTGATTGTGTCGGTGTGTCTGTGTGTGCATGCGTGCAGATCCAACAAATGCAACTCTCAGTGGGTACCACAAATTCGATCAGCAGCAGTGCAACTCAACAGTAGATTTACAGATACCATACATTGACTTCTCCACAGTTGACTCACAGTTGACTTCTCCACTGCGGCGAGCCGCTGGCAGATGGCCGCTGCGAGGGAGGAAAGACTCCTGGGGCGAGATAGGAGCTGCACGCACAGGGAAGGTTCCTGGAACTCGCATACGATCTCCCCACACCTCTGCAAGAAATGTGACAAGAGAGGAAGGGAGGCGGGAGAAGTAAATGGTGGTGAGGAGAAAGAAAGAGGGGGATGGGGGCCCTAGGAAGGATGGCTGTGGGCTTTGAAAGAAAGAGGGGGTGGGGGCCCTCTAGAAGCCATCTTTTACCCTCAGATGGCCATCAAGGTGACTTTTGAGTCGACTCAAAAGTCACCTGATGGTCACCTGATGGTCATCAGCAACCCAGAAAAACCCATCTCATGCATTGAAAGGCGGCAGCACTTGCTGCAGCAATTGCGTGTGAAACACACCTGCTGGTATCACAAGGCAGCAAGGAACATGGGCAGGACTGGGGCATGCACATGGAACCCAGTCATGTGATCGCCAGCGATTTTGGAGAATTCAAGGAATCCAGTCATGTGATCGCCAGCGATTCTGGAGAATGCTGCGGTGGGTACGACTGCTGCTGCTGCTGCTGCTGCTGCTGCTGGGACTGCTGCACTGGAGCTCGCGATTCAAGGAATTCAAGGAATCCAGTCGTTTGGTGGTTTGTGCCGTCTCAAAACGAAATTACTCTCACTCGGATTCTCAGCAATGAAACCATTTTTGAGGCGCCTCAAAAACCCAGTCAGATGGTGGTTCATTGCAGGCGCTTTACCAAATTACCACTTATGAGTCGACTCAAAAGCTTTACCACTTATGCTTTGATGTGGCTAGAACACACCCTGCCGGTCCCTCATGCACGCGAGCAGCATGGGCAGCGGCATGCGCATGCGATTGTGTGATTGGTTAGCAGGGAGAGCAGCGCTCACATGTTTGAATCTCATTGGAACACACCTGCAGGTCTCTCAAGCACGCGAGCAGCATAGGCAGCGGCATGCGCATGTGATTGTGTGATTGGTTAGCAGGGAGAGCAGCGCTCACATGTTTGAATCTCATTGGAACACACCTGCAGGTCTCTCAAGCACGCGAGCAGCATGGGCAGCGGCATGCGCATGTGATTGTGTGATTGGTTAGCAGGGAGAGCAGCGCTCACATGTTTGAATATCATTGGAACACACCTGCAGGTCCCTCAAGCACGCGAGCAGCATGGGCAGCGGCATGCGCATGTGATTGGCCATCGGTGCCAGCTGAACTGTGTACCGGCCGTTGCGGGGGGTGGGGTTGGTCCTGAGGGAAGGTTGTGGAGAGAGGCAGCGGATACAGATGGGAGGTGAATGTGAGGGCACTGGCAGCACAGCAACATGCACGTGTGATTGGCCAGGTGAACTGTGTGTCGGCCGTTGTGGGGGGTGGGATTGGTCCTGAAGGAAGGTTGCGGAGAGAGGCAGGAGATAGAAATGGGAGGTGAATGTGAGGGCACTGGCAGCACAGCAACTTGCACGTGTGATTGGCCAGCTGAACTGTGTACCGCCGGTTGCGGGGGCTGGGGGCTGGGGGCTGGGGGCTGGGGTTAGCGCTGAAGCCAGCGCAGTGGTGAGAGTGGCAGGTGGACGGATGGAGAAGGAGGGCATGTGGAAGCAAAAGCAATGCTTTTGAGTCGACTCAAGAGCAAGAGCAAGAGCAAGAGCAAGAGCAAGAGCAAGAGCAAGAGCAAGAGCCAGAGCAAGAGCAAGAGCAGGAGCAAGAGCAAGAGCAAGGATAGATTTCCAATACGGTTACGATATCCCTGGAAGGAGGGCATGTGGAAGGAGGGCATGTGGAAGGAGGGCATGTGGAAGGAGGGCATGTGGAAGGAGGGCAAGTGGAAGGAGGGCATGTGGAAGGAGGGCATGTGGAAAGAGGGCATGTGGAAGGAGGGCATGTGGAAGGAGGGCATGTGGAAGGAGGGCATGTGGAAGGAGGGCATGTGGAAGGAGGGCATGTGGAAAGAGGGCATGTGGAAGGAGGGCATGTGGAAGGAGGGCATGTGGAAGGAGGGCATGTGGAAGGAGGGCATGTGGAAGGAGGGCATGTGGAAGGAGGGCATGTGGAAGGAGGGCATGTGGAAGGAGGGCATGTGGAAAGAGGGCATGTGGAAGGAGGGCATGTGGAAGGAGGGCATGTGGAAAAGGAGGGCATGTGGACAATGCAACTTGACTCACGCAAGAACGGCCTTCACAAGAGGAACCTTCCTGGACAGAATCTCCACTGGAGTCTGCCATGGGAGCAAGGAAGGAATGGGATGGGAATCGGATACAAGGCATTGGGCATTTGTAATGTGCGTTGGGCATTTGTAACGTGCATTGGGCATTTGTAATGTGCATTGGGCATTTGTAATGTGCATTGGGCATTTGTAATGTGCATTGGGCATTTGTAATGTGCATTGGGCATTTGTAATGTGCATTGGGCATTTGTAATGTGCAATGGGCATTAGGACGCGCAGCACAAGGTGGGCAGCACAAGGTGAACACAACGCGACCAGCCAATTTTCAAGAAACAGTACCTTGTGGAAGGAAAGCAGGCAAGAAGCGGGGGCCTCGGGCATCATTCGCAAGTAAGCAGCAGCTGCAGGGAGGCCGGGTGATGGCGGTGGTGGTGGTGGTGGTGGTGGTGGTGGTGGTGGTTGTGTTACTGATGTTAGAGGGTTGGGAAGTGAGGGGGAGGGTGATGGATGGACTGGCACTGATAGCGTTTGCGTGGAGTCGGTTATCGGCGATGGGTCGGAGGGCAAAGGAACTGATGCGTTTTGGGCCGAGTCAGCAATAGGTGATGGACCAGAGGGTTCCAACTGAGAAGCAGGTGTTGGCACTAATGGGTTTGGGGTTGAGTCAGCAACGAGCGATGGACCCGAGGGCTCTGGTACTGCTGGGTCGGAAGGCAGAGAGGCAGGGGTTGACTCGCAGAACACAAGTATAGTTTCCATGACCTGGGGGAGAGCGGGGGAGAGTGGGCGGAGAGGGGGAGAGGGCGGAGAGGGGGAGAGGGAGGAGAGGGGGAAAGTGGGCGGAGTGGGGGAGAGGGAGGAGAGGGGGAAAGTGGGCGGAGTGGGGGAGAGGGAGGAGAGGGGGAAAGTGGGCGGAGTGGGGGAGAGGGAGGAGAGGGGGAAAGTGGGCGGAGTGGGGGAGAGGGAGGAGAGGGGGAGAGTGGATGGAGAGGGGAGAGACAGAGAGGGAGCAGGGTTGAAAGGCACTCGTGCTGATAGGTTGGAAGGCAGAGAGGCAGGGGTTGACTCGCAAAACACAAGAATAGTTTCCAGGACCTGGGGGGGAGATGCAGGGACAGAGCGAGAGCAAGGAGGGGGGAAGTGGGCGAGAGTGAGTGTAGAGGGAGAGCAGGAGCGAGAGAGGGGGGGACGGGAGGAGAGGGGGTGAAAGGAGCGGAGGAGAATGGGAAGAGAAGAGGATACCAATTGGGTGTTGAAACAGAAGGAAGCGGTAAATGCTGTGAGGTGAAGTACAAAAGGATATGCTATAATGGTATGAGGGGAGAGGTAGACGCGAAATGATGGCCGCCTCCGACCATTATAGCTGACAGGGACGCTTCAAAGCAGTTGAACTCAGCTTTACTGTGGCTAGGTTTTTTAGAATTCTCAAAAGCTTAACACAGCCTAGCTTTGAAGCAGTTGAACCCTGCTTTATCGTGGCTAGAATCGGCCAACAGTCCAGCTGCGATCAAGAAACTCACCACTTACAATTGAAACTCCCAGCTACTTGCTGTCCCTCTTAAGACCAGCTGAAGTTCCCAGCTGCTCACAGCACACGAGGGAACTTGTTTCTCCCTCCCTTCCTCACCTCAGACCGTATATCAAGGGACTGAGCTGTCTGTGTCTGAGTTGACTCAAAAGCAGTCCCTCCTCTTCTCACCTCTGGCCGTATGTCAAGGGACTGAGCGGTCTTCTCCTTGGGAATGGTCCGGAACACAGGAATCTGCACTGCTGCTGCTGCTGCTGCACTCGAGTCTTCAGGTGCTGCCTCAGGTGATTCTTCAGGTGCTGCTGGCAGCTGGTAATCGCCAAAGACAAGAGAGAGGAACGCAGCTACAGTACTCTCCGATACGCCGTCCCTTCAGTGGGAAGACATGGGGGGAGATGGGGTGAGATGGGGTGAGATGGGGTGAGATGGGGTGAGATGGGGTGAGATGGGGAGAGATGGGGTGAGATCGGCAAAAGCGGGTTTTCCAGTCGGACTCATCAGTCATGTGGTGGGCATGTGTGAACCAATCAGTCAGACTCATCACTTGTGTGGTGTGCTGCAGGCGTGAACCAATCAGTCAGACTCATCACTTGTGTGGTGTGCTGCAGGTGTGAACCAATCAGTCAGACTCATCACTTGTGTGGTGTGCTGCAGGCGTGAACCAATCAGTCAGACTCATCACTTGTGTGGTGTGCTGCAGGCGTGAACCAATCAGTCAGACTCATCACTTGTGTGGTGTGCTGCAGGTGTGAACCAATCAGTCACTCATCACTTGTGTGGTGTGCTGCAGGCGTGAACCAATCAGTCAGACTCATCACTTGTGTGGTGTGCTGCAGGTGTGAACCAATCAGTCAGACTCATCACTTGTGTGGTGTGCTGCAGGTGTGAACCAATCAGTCACTCATCACTTGTGTGGTGTGCTGCAGGCGTGAACCAATCAGTCAGACTCATCACTTGTGTGGTGTGCTGCAGGTGTGAACCAATCAGTCACTCATCACTTGTGTGGTGTGCTGCAGGCGTGAACCAATCAGTCAGACTCATCACTTGTGTGGTGTGCTGCAGGCGTGAACCAATCAGTCAGACTCATAACTTGTGTGGTGTGCTGCAGGTGTGAACCAATCAGTCAGACTCATCACTTGTGTGGTGTGCTGCAGGTGTGAACCAATCAGTCAGACTCATCACTTGTGTGGTGTGCTGCAGGCGTGAACCAATCAGTCAGACTCATCACTTGTGTGGTGTGCTGCAGGTGTGAACCAATCAGTCAGACTCATCACTTGTGTGGTGTGCTGCAGGCGTGAACCAATCAGTCAGACTCATCACTTGTGTGGTGTGCTGCAGGCGTGAACCAATCAGTCAGACTCATCACTTGTGTGGTGTGCTGCAGGCGTGAACCAATCAGTCAGACTCATCACTTGTGTGGTGTGCTGCAGGCGTGAACCAATCAGTCAGACTCATCACTTGTGTGGTGTGCTGCAGGCGTGAACCAATCAGTCAGACTCATCACTTGTGTGGTGTGCTGCAGGTGTGAACCAATCAGTCAGACTCATCACTTGTGTGGTGTGCTGCAGGCGTGAACCAATCAGTCAGACTCATCACTTGTGTGGTGTGCTGCAGGCGTGAACCAATCAGTCAGACTCATCACTTGTGTGGTGTGCTGCAGGTGTGAACCAATCAGTCAGACTCATCACTTGTGTGGTGTGCTGCAGGCGTGAACCAATCAGTCAGACTCATCACTTGTGTGGTGTGCTGCAGGCGTGAACCAATCAGTCAGACTCATCACTTGTGTGGTGTGCTGCAGGCGTGAACCAATCAGTCAGACTCATAACTTGTGTGGTGTGCTGCAGGTGTGAACCAATCAGTCAGACTCATCACTTGTGTGGTGTGCTGCAGGCGTGAACCAATCAGTCAGACTCATCACTTGTGTGGTGTGCTGCAGGCGTGAACCAATCAGTCAGACTCATCACTTGTGTGGTGTGCTGCAGGCGTGAACCAATCAGTCAGACTCATCACTTGTGTGGTGTGCTGCAGGCGTGAACCAATCAGTCAGACTCATCACTTGTGTGGTGTGCTGCAGGCGTGAACCAATCAGTCAGACTCATCACTTGTGTGGTGTGCTGCAGGCGTGAACCAATCAGTCAGACTCATCACTTGTGTGGTGTGCTGCAGGCGTGAACCAATCAGTCAGACTCATCACTTGTGTGGTGTGCTGCAGGCGTGAACCAATCAGTCAGACTCATCACTTGTGTGGTGTGCTGCAGGCGTGAACCAATCAGTCAGACTCATCACTTGTGTGGTGTGCTGCAGGCGTGAACCAATCAGTCAGACTCATCACTTGTGTGGTGTGCTGCAGGCGTGAACCAATCAGTCAGACTCATCACTTGTGTGGTGTGCTGCAGGTGTGAACCAATCAGTCAGACTCATCACTTGTGTGGTGTGCTGCAGGCGTGAACCAATCAGTCAGACTCATCACTTGTGTGGTGTGCTGCAGGCGTGAACCAATCAGTCAGACTCATCACTTGTGTGGTGTGCTGCAGGCGTGAACCAATCAGTCAGACTCATCACTTGTGTGGTGTGCTGCAGGCGTGAACCAATCAGTCAGACTCATCACTTGTGTGGTGTGCTGCAGGCGTGAACCAATCAGTCAGACTCATCACTTGTGTGGTGTGCTGCAGCGTGAACCAATCAGTCAGACTCATAACTTGTGTGGTGTGCTGCAGGTGTGAACCAATCAGTCAGACTCATCACTTGTGTGGTGTGCTGCAGGCGTGAACCAATCAGTCAGACTCATCACTTGTGTGGTGTGCTGCAGGCGTGAACCAATCAGTCAGACTCATCACTTGTGTGGTGTGCTGCAGGCGTGAACCAATCAGTCAGACTCATCACTTGTGTGGTGTGCTGCAGGCGTGAACCAATCAGTCAGACTCATCACTTGTGTGGTGTGCTGCAGGCGTGAACCAATCAGTCAGACTCATCACTTGTGTGGTGTGCTGCAGGCGTGAACCAATCAGTCAGACTCATCACTTGTGTGGTGTGCTGCAGGCGTGAACCAATCAGTCAGACTCATCACTTGTGTGGTGTGCTGCAGGCGTGAACCAATCAGTCAGACTCATCACTTGTGTGGTGTGCTGCAGGCGTGAACCAATCAGTCAGACTCATCACTTGTGTGGTGTGCTGCAGGCGTGAACCAATCAGTCAGACTCATCACTTGTGTGGTGTGCTGCAGGCGTGAACCAATCAGTCAGACTCATCACTTGTGTGGTGTGCTGCAGGCGTGAACCAATCAGTCAGACTCATCACTTGTGTGGTGTGCTGCAGGCGTGAACCAATCAGTCAGACTCATCACTTGTGTGGTGTGCTGCAGGCGTGAACCAATCAGTCAGACTCATAACTTGTGTGGTGTGCTGCAGGTGTGAACCAATCAGTCAGACTCATCACTTGTGTGGTGTGCTGCAGGCGTGAACCAATCAGTCACTCATCACTTGTGTGGTGTGCTGCAGGCGTGAACCAATCAGTCAGACTCATCACTTGTGTGGTGTGCTGCAGGCGTGAACCAATCAGTCAGACTCATCACTTGTGTGGTGTGCTGCAGGCGTGAACCAATCAGTCAGACTCATAACTTGTGTGGTGTGCTGCAGGTGTGAACCAATCAGTCAGACTCATCACTTGTGTGGTGTGCTGCAGGCGTGAACCAATCAGTCAGACTCATCACTTGTGTGGTGTGCTGCAGGCGTGAACCAATCAGTCAGACTCATCACTTGTGTGGTGTGCTGCAGGTGTGAACCAATCAGTCAGACTCATCACTTGTGTGGTGTGCTGCAGGCGTGAACCAATCAGTCAGACTCATCACTTGTGTGGTGTGCTGCAGGCGTGAACCAATCAGTCAGACTCATCACTTGTGTGGTGTGCTGCAGGCGTGAACCAATCAGTCAGACTCATCACTTGTGTGGTGTGCTGCAGGCGTGAACCAATCAGTCAGACTCATAACTTGTGTGGTGTGCTGCAGGTGTGAACCAATCAGTCAGACTCATCACTTGTGTGGTGTGCTGCAGGCGTGAACCAATCAGTCAGACTCATCACTTGTGTGGTGTGCTGCAGGCGTGAACCAATCAGTCAGACTCATAACTTGTGTGGTGTGCTGCAGGTGTGAACCAATCAGTCAGACTCATCACTTGTGTGGTGTGCTGCAGGCGTGAACCAATCAGTCAGACTCATCACTTGTGTGGTGTGCTGCAGGCGTGAACCAATCAGTCAGACTCATCACTTGTGTGGTGTGCTGCAGGCGTGAACCAATCAGTCAGACTCATAACTTGTGTGGTGTGCTGCAGGTGTGAACCAATCAGTCAGACTCATCACTTGTGTGGTGTGCTGCAGGCGTGAACCAATCAGTCAGACTCATCACTTGTGTGGTGTGCTGCAGGCGTGAACCAATCAGTCAGACTCATCACTTGTGTGGTGTGCTGCAGGCGTGAACCAATCAGTCAGACTCATCACTTGTGTGGTGTGCTGCAGGCGTGAACCAATCAGTCAGACTCATCACTTGTGTGGTGTGCTGCAGGCGTGAACCAATCAGTCAGACTCATCACTTGTGTGGTGTGCTGCAGGCGTGAACCAATCAGTCAGACTCATCACTTGTGTGGTGTGCTGCAGGCGTGAACCAATCAGTCAGACTCATCACTTGTGTGGTGTGCTGCAGGCGTGAACCAATCAGTCAGACTCATCACTTGTGTGGTGTGCTGCAGGCGTGAACCAATCAGTCAGACTCATCACTTGTGTGGTGTGCTGCAGGCGTGAACCAATCAGTCAGACTCATCACTTGTGTGGTGTGCTGCAGGCGTGAACCAATCAGTCAGACTCATCACTTGTGTGGTGTGCTGCAGGCGTGAACCAATCAGTCAGACTCATCACTTGTGTGGTGTGCTGCAGGCGTGAACCAATCAGTCAGACTCATCACTTGTGTGGTGTGCTGCAGGCGTGAACCAATCAGTCAGACTCATCACTTGTGTGGTGTGCTGCAGGCGTGAACCAATCAGTCAGACTCATCACTTGTGTGGTGTGCTGCAGGCGTGAACCAATCAGTCAGACTCATCACTTGTGTGGTGTGCTGCAGGCGTGAACCAATCAGTCAGACTCATCACTTGTGTGGTGTGCTGCAGGCGTGAACCAATCAGTCAGACTCATAACTTGTGTGGTGTGCTGCAGGCGTGAACCAATCAGTCAGACTCATCACTTGTGTGGTGTGCTGCAGGCGTGAACCAATCAGTCAGACTTATAACTTGTGTGGTGTGCTGCAGGTGTGAACCAATCAGTCAGACTCATCACTTGTGTGGTGTGCTGCAGGCGTGAACCAATCAGTCAGACTCATCACTTGTG